AGCAACTTAAAGGTTTAATTTTTCACTAAATCTGCATGTATTGTTTCTTACAAAGCTAATTCATGATTTAATGAGACACTTAATGAAGAATCCAGATGAAAAAGTGGGTATTTGGAGCATCTGAACCCTAAAACTCATCAATTCCTCAGCCAGAAACTGAAGAAAGAAAGATTTGTTGTATCATTTCAGTTTTAAAAATCTATTTTCTAATCAAACCAAACTAGTCATCAACAAGAAGCTTCATCTGAGCTTAAAATTCTGATATTTCATTAAATCACAACGTTCTGTTTGCCTAAGTTAAAAATTTGCCAAAAAACAAAGTGTTTGCTTGAACCACATTCTGTAAAAAACAAAAAAATTCAGAGCAGCTCGTCGTAACTAAGAGACAAAATGTGAAACCTAAAAATAATAAAAACAAAACCTCAGTAAAACACATTAAAATGAGAAATAGAATAAAGTTTAACAACATAAAAGACACAGAGGACGTCACTGCTGTGGATTTAAGCGACTAGTTTTCCACTTTAAGGACTTTTCAGGGGTCGAAGACAACAACGCCACCGACCTCCTCCCTGCTGGATGAAGAACTGCTCCATGTTGTCGCAGTCGATCTTGGTGCGGCAGAAGACGATGGCCTGGTCCATCTTGTGCTCTTTGATGGCTCTGACGGCGTACTCGCCCTTCAGCACCTTGATGGCCTCCGACCACATTTCTGGAACGAACACACACACACAGAGTTACTGCTGCTCAGGGAAACACAGCACTGATGATGTTTTATACTTTACGTAAAGCGATGAAGCTAAAAGGTGGAAACCTGCTGATACCTGCAGAGTTGCCTCCTGGTCTGGTGTTGTCTTTGGCATGAACCTCATCGGTCTGAGAACGAAGAACAACTGTCAGCGGCTCAGAAAAGATAATAATGCACCTTTTATTTTGACTCATCCTGCTTCCCCCCGTCAGTATGATCATGTCATATCATACATTAATGATTATAGATATATTGTGCATCAACCCAATGAACTCCAAACACTCTGGTGGGTTTGACAGGAATGTCGTCTCCAAAACAAAATCGGCAAAATGATCACAGCTACAGATTTTCAACTCTCAGCGGTTCTTCATCTCCTCAGCTGTAATGTCAGGAAAATTACTTAATTAATGACATTAATCAAAATCACTTTATTCTATAAAGGTCTCATTTAAATTATAGTCAAAATTGAGCCATTTGTACAAAAAAAAAAAACAGAAGATGACACAACTAATCAGTGCAATAAACTATAAAAATGGATTCATTTCATCATAATCACTTCATTCTGTTTGTCTAATTTAAAACTTTGCCAAAAACAAAGTGTTTGCTGGAATCATATTCTGAAATAAAACTAAAAATTCAGAACTCCTCGCCGCAAATAAGAAACAAACAGAAGCTGCTGCTTAAAGTTCAGAGGGTTCAAAAGTAAACAGCAAATTCTCTAACAATTTATCAGTTTTATTTTAGCATTTTTTCTGTTAAACTCTAGCAAAGTTTAAAGCAAATAAACCACTTTTGTGTGATTATCATCGCTATCATTATTATTATTATTGTTATTAACATTATTATGAGGTGATAAATGAAATTCCTGCATAATGATTCCATGCTTTCCCCGGCAGCTCGACGGACTCACCCGGATGTGGTTCTTGCCCAGACGCTCCCACAGCCGGTCGCTCTTGGGGTTGACGGGAACCACCACGTGGTGGACCGTCTCCGGAACCGAGTCCTCCCCCTTCAGGTCCACCCAGGTGGGGAAGTGCATGATGCGCTCGGAGAGCTTCTTCACGTCGAAGGAGTGCAGCGTGGCCGAGCACACGATCACCTGGAACCGAGGAGGGCAGACGTTCAGCCGGACCAGGGAGAGTTGAAGCGCTGCAGCTCTGCACCAGCCACAGCTGAACTACTTCTACAGTCTCTGAACTTTCTGATCCTCCTCAAACGTCCACTGCAACAAATCCGAGCGTTACCTGCAGCCTTTTCCCGTCGGAGGTGACCTGAGGGATCTGGTTGTGGATCCTGTTGATGAAGTCGGTGTAGCCGGCCGACAGGAGGCCATCCTGAGCACACGGCAGACACACTGACGGTTAATGTTTTATAGGCGCTGTGATGCTTTTAATGTGAAAAACGGCTTGTTGCACTTACGCACTCGTCCAGGACCAGGAAGCGGACCTGGGACAGACTGAGCTTCCCCGTGGATATGAGATCGTCCAGTCGTCCAGGAGTTCCCACCACGATGTCCACCTGATGACAGGAAACAGAGAAGAAGAAGAAGGAGAAGGAGCTGAGTGACGTCTGCTCAGGGAGATCTAAACCGGCTGGGTGTTTGGAGGGAGTCTCGTACCCCCTGATCCAGAGCTGCCAGCTGCTCTTTGGCAGCGACGCCACCGATCACCAGCAGCTCTCTGCAACGACAACAGATGGGTGGTTATGACTGAGGCGCTGGCGCCATCTGCTGGTAGAAAACTGGAATTACAGTTTTTAGTCCGACCTGAGTTTGGGATTGTCCACATATCTCTTGAACTGCGTCACGTTGTTGAGGGTTTGCTCTGCCAGCTCTTTGGACGGCTCGATGATCAGGGCTTTGGGTGCGTTGGACGAAGCTTTGACTTGACTCACTTTGGCGCTGCCTGAACAAAAACAGCAGAGACACGTCAGTCAGCGAGGACAGAAAGCTCGTTTTAACCTGAACTCCAGCAGCGTTTGGGTATTTTCTGGTCTTATGTACAGAATGACACAGTTAAAATGACAGAAATCATAAAAAAGAAAGAACAAACTGTTAATTTATTCTACAAAAAAGTTAAAAAACAGAATCAACATGTCCACAGGTGTAACAAAACTGGAAAAATGGAGGCTGCTCATACTGTAGATGTTGAGATCTTTATATTTTTACAGCTTCTACAAACTTGTTGGGACAGTTTTGTCTCATTTCTGTTGTTTTGTGTCGAATTTTTCCTCATTTTCGTGTCTCGTTTGCATCTTCTACGCTTGTTTTGTGTCTTTGTGGTCATTTTTCTTTTACATTTGTTTAATTTTCCTGAATGAAGCAAAAAGCACAGCTGACCAGTTCTACAATTATCTGGAAGGGGAAAATCTGAGGATTTTTTCTGTTTTTATAGTTTGTGGCACAAATTAAAGTCTTATTTTGGCGATTTTTTAACCCGCCAGCTTTTTTTGTTTTTCAGTGGTTTTAAGAACAGCTGGTGAAATAAGGATTTTAAACTTAAATCAATGACCTAGTATTTAAGTTAAACAATCTCTGGTTGTATAAATGTGCAGGATGTCGACCTCTGAAGACATTTCCTGTGTATTTACAGCACATTATTCTAAACGCTGCCTCCGCTCACCCGTCTGAGCAGATTTGACCGTGTGGCCTTCGGCTGCCTGATGGACGCCAACAAAGCCGGTCTTAGGAGGATGTTTGAAGTCTTCTCCTCCAAAGTTGAACTTCAGCTCTGCGTTCTGGGAGACAGACCAGACCGGCAGGTTGTATTTAGTCAGTTTTGCATCTTTTATTGTTGTTATTGTGACGTGTTCTGTGGAGATACCTTCAGCACGCAGGAGGCGAAGAAAGTCTGATTCTTCAGGTTCTGAGGGACGTCGAACGCCACACCCAGGTCGTTGCCTTGCAGAGAAACGGAGACAGAAAGGGTCATGAAATGTCAGCAAATGTGTTGTTTTCCTCTGAATCGACATGTGTCACATATTCACAGTATTTAAAATGAAAACCAGCGAGATCAGCACCGTTTTTGGAGAAGAAAATCTGCCCCTTGTCCAGATCCAGGTAGCATCCGATGGTGTCGTGCATCGTGAACTCCTGCAAACACAGAATCCACGTTAGAAAATCAACCATCACAGCTGCTCACATGTCTAAATATCATATCAATCTCCTCGGCTGTCACCTCTCCGTAGCTGTCAAACTGCTTGTTGTTGGATTTCTTTCCAGTTCCACCGAAACCAAAACCGTATTTATCGGTTCCTAAAAGGAGGAGAAGAGTTTGGGATGAAATTACTGCAACACGAGACTCATTGTTTCAGCAGAACATACCAGAGATACAACGATTAATCAGTTAGTTGTCAGCTGTTAAATTAATCATCAAGTGTTTTTATAATCTCTTGATCAGTTTGAGTCTTTTTTAAGATAAAAACTGTGTAAATTCTGTGATTGCAGCGTCTTAAATGTGAACATTTTCTGGTTTATTTTCTTTCTGGGTTGTGGACAAAACATTTGTGGGACACTTTCGGAAATTTAAGGAGAAAAACCACAAATCCATTGATCAAGACAACAATGAAAAACAGAAATAATCATCAGCTGCAGCCTGTGAAACATTCAGGGTTTATCTCCAGGAGTTTTTTTTGTCTAAAATCCAACATTTACAGCCGCGTCAACGTCGTAGAAAAGAGAATTTTCTCCCCCAGATTTACACTCTGAGGCTGCCTGAGTCGTGTCCACGTTAGTTTTTATTTCTCTGGTTTTACCTAAATCCAGCGCCGCCTGACTGGTGGACCAGCCGACCCGACACAGACCCTGGTCGTGGCAGGTCACCTCGTAGTAGTACTTCCCTGAAAGGAAAAAGAAACAGACAAGAAGAGGCAACAGTAGATTAGACTTGCTCTTTAATTCAATTGGTCTCGTTGTGAATCCGTGAGCTTCTCCAACCTTTGGTGACTCCTTTGGTGGACCGACAGCCGTGCCACTCCTTAAACTCTCTGCTCTGGCAGCAGAGTCCATCAGGACCGATGGCTGAGGAGACACGAAGGGACGGTGAGCAGATGTCGATCGAACCAGATGTGGAAGGTAACTAAGTGCTTTGAGGTGCTTTACTCCAGTATTTTCATGTTGTGCGCCACATTTCAGGGTTAAATATTCTATTTCTGCTCCACTACGTTCATCTGACAGATTTTGAAGATGCAGATTTGACACAATGGACAATAAAACAAGTTAAAAATCAAACCTTCTTCTCATTTCTGTACATTTAATTGAATATTTCTTTATTTTTTGGGATAATTTCTGATATTTTTTATGCCCTCCTGGAGAACCTTTTACTTGTAGTGGAGTATTTTCAATTTGTTGCATTCCTACTTTTGCTTAAACCAAGAATCTGAACGTTTTCACTGCACTGAACTGAACACCACGTTTATTACTCTCAGATATAAACTTACCGAAGGCCGGACTGCGATCGTACGGATTCATCTGCCAGTTGTTGAAAACTGAGACGACACAAAGAAAAACAGAGCAGCTCAAACATCTGGAGAGGAAACACAACTGGTTTCTGTATTAAAATGAATCCTCGATCCTGATATTTCTGGACAACGTCATGAACATATTCAGTAAAGAAAATCAGTCTGTGCTTCATTCAGTCTCCACATTTTCCTGCTATTTGATCATTTGCTAAACACAAGCGTCTGAAGAAATGAAAGCACATTTACCAAAACTGATTTATAATATATATAAATGTACTTTTATTCTCAATTCTTATCATTTTGGAGCTGATATTTCTATAAAACCTACAGCACACTGTTTTATTCAACACTAAATGCATAAATAAATAAATATCCCTGTAAAATTAATCAATATGGCAAACAGATGAAGCTTGAAATAAACAAATGAGGCAATAAATACATTAATTAATCTTATAATTCAATAAATACGTTTTTAATTTTAAAGGACTACTTTAATTACTTCCAGAGACAAGTGGTCAAAAAAAGTCTCCAGAAATAAAAGATTTTAGAATCTATTTAGTTGGTACATGCATTTATGTATCTCATTTGTTTGTGTCAGGTTTGATTACACAGCCATATACGTTCATTTATTATATTATTCTACTAATTCATTATTCATTTATGCATTCATTTTGCTTTGAATAAAACAGCAGTCCATAAAAATATATTTAAAAAAAAAAATCCTCTATGCAGAAAAACTCAACATCTTAGCTGACATATCAACCACACAGACTACAACCAAATAACTTAAAGATTATAATGTAAATGTGGAGGTTTTCTCACTGGCTCCTCCAGTTTTGATGGACGCTCTTCCCTTCTTTCCCTCCTGCTGATCCTTCAGCGTCTCGTACACGATCTGGATCACCGGGATGCTGAAGGCCTGGAGACGAGGAGGGAAACTGAGAGTCAGACGGTTTGACAATCCGCAGTCCAGAGGCAGTTTAAAGTCATGTGCTCGTACTTACTCCTGTCTTGCCGCTGCCGGTTTCTGCAGCCTGAAACACAGAAAACAAGGTTCGTAGTCAAATGCAAATTTATGAGACGAATGTTCAAGTAAAGACTGTTTTAGTTCTCACTGCAATCTACCGTCTGGAATCTTTGGCTGTTTTTAAGTGATGTTTCTCTGCAGCGGTTTGTGTCTTGTGTGCAGAAGAAATTATTCCCTTACGGAGTTCCACAGGGATCCATTCTGGGTCCTTTATTGTTTTAGATTTATTTACTCTCATAAAGGAACAAATGTTCAGTAAATACTGAGCTGCGATATTGATTAAACTCTTTCTAGCTGCACCAATCATCTTACCTCTGCTTTGGGTTTGATTTTAGATTTCACATTTTAAAGTTCGGCTTTAGTTCAATATACAGTTTAACGGCTCATTACGTAAGCGCAACTGTCACAAAAGATAAACAGCTTTACCAGTGCCGGACAGTTTTAATTCGCCTGAATTAAATTGAATTGATAAAAACAAGATTTATCTTATTAATTAATAGCCACACCTCTGATATCCTGAACTGCAACTTTGTGATTTGCTAATTGCTTTCAAATTTCAATTTTGATTTAAATTTTTTCATTCCAATCCTAGTTATCTGTTAAGTTTTAGACTTGATCTGAAGAATTTATTGCTTCAATTTAAAGCCCAACTTTTCCTCATGAAGCTGATGTCTGATCCTGATTCTCTCTTTTTTTTTGTTTAAACACTTTCTTTTATCATAAAGGCTTTTCTTAACTGGTCTCACAGGAGCTATTTTATTTTTTTCTACTTTGTTGTTTCCACACTCCACCTGTCCCAAGTGCAATTAAATCATGCAAATATTATTAAATTTGTGTTCTTATTATCTTTGAGTTCTTCTGTTTCCATATATTTATATGTTTATATCTTAGCTCGTTAATTTATAGTTGTGTTTGCTTGTTTTTCTTACTGTCATTGACAAATTTCCCCTTATGGGCCCAATACAGGATATTTTATTCTATTCCTCTATTTTCTTCTTTGCATTGGTGTGATTGTATTTTTGTTCTTTTATAAATGTGGCTGTTTTTTCCCCTCCTGTATAATTTTATTAACTTTGTGCACCACATTTAATCTTAATTTATAAAAGGTGTGATAGAAATGAACTTATAATCCCATTAAAGAGCCAAACCTACCATGAGAACATCTCCTCCACCCAGAATCAGAGGGATGGACTCTGCCTGGATGTCAGTGGGCAACCTGATCAAAACAAATCAGTTCCAAACGTCAGTCTTACACAGACAGACAGCTGCAACATTCACCGACGTGCCATCGTGCGTGATTTGGCAGATTTGTAGTGTAACTCACAGCCAGTCCATCTCCTCCACAGCCTGCGCGATTTCCGGCATAACTCCCATTTCTGAGGATTAAACGTCACATTTAATTATTCAGCTCGGTTGTGTCGCTTTAAAAACCCACCTAGTGTTGAGTTAAATCACAAAAACAACATGAAAATGACTAAATCAGTGTAAAATTCTCACCAGAAAACGCTGCCATGACTGCTGCTACGCATTCAATCAAACCGGAAGTAGCGTGTTCGCGAACTGCGGCTCGTCTCGCAACAGCGAACAAACTTTAGTTCCGGATGGTGATTTAAAACAGTTCCTATGTACAGATTTAATTTTATGAAACATATAATTTATGAAATTTAGCCACAGTAGCTCATATTTATGTGTTACTGACATTTTATTTGATAGAAATTGATAAAATACGGCCGTTTTTGACTTTAAAAGCGACATATTTTGTCCCCCGCCGGACCCCGTACATTCTGACAGCCCGTTTGAGTAAATATGGCGGAAGAAAGTCTGATGGAAGGCGAAGATGAAAATATTTTATATGATTTATTGGTTATCACTGAATGGCCGCCGGAGACGGACACGCAGGTGAGTTAAACTTGTATTTTGCGTCTTTTCGTCGCGGCTGGAGGTTTCATATCGGATGTTTAGCGGTTAAAAACAGCCGCCGACAGCCAATAAAGTGCAGCTGCGCAGAGCCACGTAGCACAGACAGCTCAGGTTATCGGTCAGTCTGGTCGATCAGTGGAGTTTCAGACTGTCACGTCGCGCTGTGGTGGATTGTGTGTTCGTTTTGTGTCCCTGTGTTTAGATCCACACCTGTTTTATTGGCACTCTTTTATCAGAAATCACGTCGCCCCAGTTAGCCAGCTGTAAACTGAACACACACACTGGGACCAATTAGCAGCGTTAATTGAGCTTTAAAATCAGTGTCAGTGAATTATAGGCCAATCTGAGCCGACTTTGTTCGTTTATTGTCACGATGAGTTCATCTGTCGCTTTCTGACTGTTACAGCTGCGAGGCAACAAGGAGCACAACAGCTCTGTGATCGCCAAAGCAGTGACAGGTGAGTCCTACTACCTGCAGCAGCATCATCATCCCTGTGATGCTCCACACGTCACAGGAGACACCTGAACTTCATCAGAAGATGCTGTTCAGCATCTGACCGTGACCACACACGTGTTTCATATTGGTGGTTAAGATAAAGTCTTAAAGCTGAAAGAAGAAAGTTAATAAATGACACACGGCTATGTTTTGCTTTCTTATTTTACAGTTAATGTGCACAGAGGAGTAGGAAACAGATGTTTATTTATGTACATGTGTTTCTTACTTTTCTGAGACTGTTTCATATGTTTTTCTGTTTTTAACCTCTATTTTTACCTCTCTTTTAGTCTTCAGTATGTTTTATGACTTCTTGTATCGGAGTGAAGACGCTGATTTTCACACCTGTTGTTTTTTAATAAGACGACACTGAATCCCCGTCAGCTCCACAAATAATATTTAAACACAATAACACCAAAAACAAAGAGAACAAGAAGGAACAATAATCCAATAGAATATGACACCATCACACTTTTCCCATAGTTTTATTTATGGACTGTGATTTATTTATTTATTTTTTTACAGGGCCGTTCCGGTTGATCCTTCACTATTTGTGGTACAGGTGAGTTTGTTGTTTTTTTTCTGATTAATAGAGCTGAGTTATTAGTGAGTTACACGTCTGACACACAGCTGAACTTGTGCAGTGATTGTATTCCTTTCTTTCTTTCATCGGAGTCTAAAACGTTCCAGTTTATTAATATTTATCATTTGTTTGGTTAATATTTAATGTTTTTGAGGTTTTGAGTGCTCATAATATAGTTTTATTCTGCAAAATACATAAAAAATATTAAGAAAAAAAGCGTTTTTAGACCGTTTTACTCTGTCTGATGACTTTCTAACGTTGTGTAATTACATCTGTTGGCTTATGATTAGGGAAACGTGATCGTATTTCTCAGGATTTCACAGTTTAAATCTTATCGAAGGACTAAAAATCTTTTGTCAGTGTTTGGAGACGCTCATGTCACATGAGTCTCTGTCTCTGTTGTGTATGTCTTAATGCCAGATTGTAGTTATATTCACTTGAATGTTTCTCTAAAAGCAGATCCAGCACTTTAACTTTGTGACATTCTGAACAAACAGACAGTTTCAGTTCAGTTCTGAACTGCAAAAAGTTCTCAGATCTTCAAGTAAAAGCACCAAAACCAAAGTGTAGAAACACTCTTAGAATAAAAGTCAAGAATTAAACTTTTAACTTAAGAAAAAACTCTGAGCATCAGAATATTCTTAGAGGGTCACTGTTGTGCAGAACGGCAGATTTTAGAATAATCAGTTTTACTGGATTATAATTTCTAACGCGTTAATGTTGCTGATGAAGGTGATTGAACTACTTTAAGTCTGACGCCCCTCAGGGATTAAATCATCTTAATCTATAATGTCACATCCTAACCTATATGTTGATTAGGTTTTGTGATATTAAATTAAATCTGCAGAGTTTGCAGATGAATCTAGTGGAGTGAAACACGCAGCAGAATTGTGTTAAAGTGCCTCAAAATTGTACTTAAGTGCACTGAATGGACTTATTTCCAGCTCTGAGTCATTTTTACTGGTTCATTCATTAGATTAAAAATAATATTCTTATACTTATTATTCTGGATTTAAGATAATAACAAATAAGCACATAGAGAGAACTTTTCCCATCGATGCAAATCTTGTAAATCGGCTTCTTTTCTATTTGCTAGTTGAAGCTGCAGTTAAAACACGAAGCCATAAAGTTTTAAATTTTACTTCATACGAGGCCCATGAATACTAATGTGTAGCTATTTACAGCAGACTCCTCGTTTTTACTCTTTATTAAATCTGCTCATCTAAAGTCTCACTGTGTTTTATTCCTCGTGTGTTTATGTGGAAGTTTAAGCAGCATTAATGTAGAACTCTGACTTTGTTGGAAGAATCCGGTGCTGAACTGCTGCTCGATGTTTCCTGCAGTGGATTCTTAAAGCTTTTCCTCTCAGCTGGTGGTTAGCGACCGTCATCAATAACCTCCTTAAATATTTAAGAGCCGCTCCGCCACGTTCGTCTCACAGCTTCACTTCGCTTCAGAAATTTTATTTTGCTGTGAACTTTTTATTTGTTGAAAATACAAGTTTGTATTTTTTATTTTGTAGTCCTAAAACACACTAACAAGTACGTTTATGCTGCATCTCTGATTAAAAACTCTGCTTAAATGTTAAACAAACAGTCCTGCGAAGGAAATATTCTTGTGTGACTCAACAGATGAATTGTTTTGTCTGTAAAATGTGAATAAATGTTTCCTCAGATGTCCAAATATATTCAGTTTACCGTCGTAGAGGAGGAAAGAAACCAGAAAATCACAGAATTTAACGTTTTTTTTTTTTAATTACAAAATTGCTTAAACAAATTATCAAAATACTTGCCAATTAAGTTAATCGTTGATAAATAATTAACTCGTCAATTAATTGCTGCAGCTCTGGAGTGGACTAAATTTAAAATAACAAAAATAAAAACCTCTCAGCGTTCTGGGATCCCGTTCGGAAAAAAATGTTAATTGCCGTTTTAATTTTTAATTGATTTTAAATAGAATTTTAAACTACTTTAATTTACAGTGTTTGATTTAATTTAACATAATTTAAAATATTGAATTTAATATTTGATGGAACCAATTTCAAACCGCTTTGGTTTAATTAAAATTTTATTAAATTTTTAAGGAATTATTATTTATACGGAGCATTTAGAAGAACTGAGGTTGAATCAAAGTGATTCTAACAGAGGAATAAGACGTCGAGGCTAAAACCCCACATTAA